GGGGGGGGGGGGGGGGTATGGATCACGTTTCACAACGAAAAAAAAGCCGTTTCACGATTCACGTGTCTTAAAAAAGCAATTTCACGGAAAACTGCGTTCTACTAAAATAATATAATAATAATAGGCTTATTAAGAGTATGTTTAATGCATGGTACAATATCTACGCTTTAAGTTCTCTCACTTCTCTACCTGTAAGTTAAAACTACATCATAACTTACAAAGTTTGAGTGACGAGCATGTACGACGACCTCCGAGAATTGTCCTCAGCGTGAGGAACCTTGTCCTCAGCGTGAGCAACCTTGTCCTCAGCGTGAGGAACCTTTCCTCAGCGTGAGGAACCTTGTCCTCAGCACCTTGTCCTCAGCGTGAGGAACCTTGTCCTCAGCGTGAGGAACCATGTTCTCAGCGTGAGGAACCTTTCCTCAGAGTGACGAACCTTGTCCTCAGCGTGAGGAACCTTGTCCTCAGCGTGAGGAACCTTGACCTCAGCGTGAGGAACCTTGTCCTCGGCGTGAGGAACCTTTCCTCAGCGTGAGGAACCTTGTCCTCAGCGTGAGGAACCTTGTCCTCAGCGTGAGGACCATTTCCTCAGCGTGAGGAATCTTGTCCTCAGCTTGAGGAACCTTGTCCTCAGCGTGAGGAATCTTGTCCTCAGCTTGAGGAACCTTGTCCTCAGCGTGAGGAACCATGCCCTCAGAGTGAGGAACATTTCCTCAGAGTGAGGAACCTTCTCCTCAGCGTTAGGAACGTTGTCCTCAGCGTGAGGAACCTTGTCCTCAGCGTGAGGAACCTTGACCTCAGCGTGAGGAACCTTGTCCTCAGCGTGAGGAACCTTTCCTCAGCGTGAGGAACCTTGTCCTCAGCGTGAGGAGCCTTGTCCTTAGCGTGAGGAGCCTTATTCTCACCCTGAGGAACATTTTCTCAGCGTGAGGAACCTTGTCCTCAGCGTGAGGAACCTTGTCCTCAGCGTGAGGAACCTTGTCCTCAGCGTGAGGAACCTTGTCCTCAGCGTGAGGAATCTTTTCTCTGCGTGAGGAACCTTGTCCTCAGCACCTTGTCCTCAGCGTGCGGAACCTTGTCCTCAGCGTGAGGAGCCTTGTCGTCAGCGTGACGAACCTTGTCCTCAGCGTGAGGAACCTTTCCTCAGCGTGAGGAACCTTGTCCTCAGCGTGAGGAGCCTTGTCCTTAGCGTGAGGAGCCTTATTCTCACCGTGAGGAACATTTTCTCAGCGTGAGGAACCTTGTCCTCAGCGTGAGGAACCTTGTCCTCAGCGTGAGGAACCTTGTCCTCAGCGTGAGGAATCTTTTCTCTGCGTGAGGAACCTTGTCCTCAGCACCTTGTCCTCAGCGTGAGGAACCTTGTCCTCAGCGTGCGGAACCTTGTCCTCAGCGTGAGGAGCCTTGTCGTCAGCGTGACGAACCTTGTCCTCAGCGTGAGGAACCTTGTCCTCAGCGAGAGGAACCTTTTCCTCAGCCTGAGGAACCTTTTCCTCAGCCTGAGAAACCTTGTCCTCAGCGTGAGGAACCTTGTCCTCAGCGCGAAGAACCTTTTCCTCAGCGTGAGGAACCTTTCCTCAGCGTGAGCAACCTTGTCCTCAGCGTGAGGAACCTTGTCCTCAGCGTGACCAACCCTGTCCTCAGCGTGAGGAACCTTGTCCTCAGCGTGAGGAACCTTTCCGCAGCGTGGGGAACCTGCTCCTCAGCGTGAGGAACCTTGTCCTCAGCGTGAGGAACCTTTCCTCAGCGTGAGCAACCTTCTTCTCAGCGAAAGGAACCTTGTCCTCAGCGTGACCAACCCTGTCCTCAGCGTGAGGAACCTTGTTCTCAGCGTGAAGAACATTGTCCTCAGCGTGAGAAACCATTCCTCAGCGTGAGGAACCTTGTCCTCAGCGTGACGAGCCTTGTCTCAGCATGAGGACCCTTGTCCTCAGCGTGAGGAACCTTGTCCTCAGCGTGAGGAACCTTGTCCTCAGCGTGAGGAACCTTTTCCTCAGCGTGAAGAACCTTCTCGTCAGCGTGAGGAACCTTGTCCTCAGCTTGAGGAACCTTGTCCTCAGCGTGAGGAACCTTTTCCTCAGCGTGAGGAGTCTTGTCGTCAGCGTGAGGAACCTTGTCGTCAGCGTGAGGAACCTTGTCCTCAGCGTGAGGAACCTGGCCCTCAGCGTGAGGAACCTTTTCCTCAGCCTGAGGAACCTTTTCCTCAGCCTGAGGAACCTTTTCCTCAGCGTGAAGAACCTTGTCCTCAGTGTGAGGAACCTTGTCCTCAGCGTGAGGAACCTTGTTCTCAGCGTGAGGAACCTTGTCCTCAGCGTGAGAACCTTGTCCTCAGCGTGAGGAACCTTTCCGCAGCGTGAGGAGCCTGCTCCTCAGCGTGAGGAACCTTGTCCTCAACGTGAGGAACCTTGTCCTCAGCGTGAGGAATCTTGTCCTCAGCGTGCGGAACCTTGTCCTCAGCGTGAAGAACTTTTTCCTCAGCGTGAGGAACCTTTCCTCAGCGTGAGCAACCTTGTCTTCAGCGTGAGGAACCTTGTCCTCAGCGTGACCAACCCTGTCCTCAGCGTGAGGAACCTTGTCCTCAGCGTGAGGAACCTTGTCCTAAGCGTGAGGAACCTTTTCCTCAGCGTGAAGAACCTTGTCGTCAGCGTGAGGAACCTTGTCCTCAGCCTGAGGAACCTTGTCCTCAGCCTGAGGAACCTTGTCCTCAGCGTGAGGAACCTTTTCCTCAGCGTGAAGAACCTTGTCCTCAGTGTGAGGAACCTTGTCCTCAGTGTGAGGAACCTTGTCCTCAGCGTGAGGAACCTCGTCCTCAGCGTGAGAAACCTTTCCTCAGCGTGAGGAACCTGCTCCTCAGCGTGAGGAACCTTGTCCTCAGCGTGGGGAACCTTGTCCTCAGCGTGAGGAACCTTGTCCTCAGCGTGAGGAACCTTGTCCTCAGCGTGAGGAATCTTGTCCTCAGCGTGCGGAACCTTTTCGTCAGCGTGAGGAACCTTGTCCTCAGCGTGAAGAACCTTTTCCTCAGCGTGAGGAACCTTTCCTCAGCGTGAGCAACCTTCTCCTCAGCGTCAGGAACCTTGTCCTCAGCGTGACCAACCCTGTCCTCAGCGTGAGGAACCTTGTCCTCAGCGTGAAGAACCTTGTCCTCAGCGTGAGAAACCTTTCCTCAGCGTGAGGAACCTTGTCCTCAGCGTGACGAGCCTTGTCTCAGCATGAGGAACCTTGTTCTCGGCGTGAGGAACCTTGTCCTCAGCGTGAGGAACCTTGTCCTCAGGGTGAGGAACCTTTTCCTCAAGGTGAAGAACCTTGTCCTCAGTGTGAGGAACCTTGTCCTCAGTGTGAGGAACCTTGTCCTCAGCGTGAGGAACCTCGTCCTCAGCGTGAGGAACCTTTCCGCAGCGTGAGGAACCTGCTTCTCAGCGTGAGGAACCTTGTCCTCAACGTGAGGAACCTTGTCCTCAGCGTGAGGACCCTAGTCCTCAGCGTGAGGAACCTTTTCCTCAGCGTGAGGAATTACCTTTTCTCAGCGTGAGCAACCTTGTCCTCAGCGTGAGCAACCTTGTCCTCAGCGTGAGCAACCTTGTCCTCAGCGTGAGGAACCTTGTCCTCAGCGTGAGGAACCTTGTCCTCACCGTGAGGAACCTTGTCCTCAGCGTGAGGAACCTTGTCCTCAGCGTGAGGAACCATTCCTCAGCGTGAGGAACCTTGTCCTCAGCGTGAGGAATCTTGTCCGCAGCGTGCGGAACCTTGTACTCAGAGTGAGGAATCTTGTCCTCAGCGTGAAGAACCTAGTCGTCAGTGTGACGAACCTTTTCGTCAGCGTGAGGAACCTAGTCCTCAGCGCCAGGAACCTTTTCCTCAGCGTGAGGAACCTTTTCTCAGCGTGAGCAACCTGTCCTCAGCGTGAGCAACCTTGTCCTCAGCGTGAGGAACCTTGTCCTCAGCGTGAGGAACCTTGTCCTCAGCGTGAGGAACCTTGTCCTCAGCATGAGGAACCTTGTCCTCAGCGTGAGGAACCTTGTCCTCAGCATGAGGAACCTTGTCCTCAGCGTGAGGAGCCTTGTCCTCTGCGTAAGGAACCTTGTCCTCAGCGTGAGGAACCTTTCCTCAGCGTGACGAACCTTCTCTTCAGCGTGAGGAACCTTGTCCTCAGCGTGAGGAATCATGACCTCAGCGTGAGGAACCTTGTCCTCAGCGTGAGGAACCTTGTCCTCAGCGTGAGAAACCTTGTCCTCAGCGTGACGAACCTTGTCTTCGGCA